CGAATCCCGCAACTTCGGAAGGTCGCGGAATTATCAACCGTGCTGCAAGCCGGACAAACGTACAGCTCGATCGGTCTACCGACGACATCGAGCCACAATCAGGACAACCATAAGGCCGAGGCCTCTACGTCCTGGAAGACTGGATTGGATTGGACTGGACTGGACTGGACCTGACCTTGAAGTAACCTTGTGTTGGTTGGCTGCCCCTGCCCGCTGCGCTCTGTGATTCTCTCCATGTCACACTCATTCGAGGCACTTGAGGGTCAATACCAATATTATAATTGCTTTGTTTCGCAATGCAAAGAGTCCCAAACAAATAATATTAGCGTTCGTCTGTCTTTCCTTGAGAATGCTCCATCCTACGACTCAAATCCGCATTTTGCTATGGAGATTGCAGGTGAATCTTCTTATGGTTCTCAGGACTGGCGATCTGAGAGCATGTACTGCTATAACATTGGGAGAGAAATAATTACTTTTTTACAAGAAAATCACAATAACCCTGCGGACCGTAGAACTTTCAAAGTTTCCCCGACTTACCACGTTTTCAAACCCGTCAACGATGATCCACGACCCATCCTTCTAGTCGGTCTCTTAAATGGTGAAATTCAATTGATCAGTCCAGTTCAAAAAGATATTCTCAAAATTTTCAATGAAGAGGTATGCATTTTCCAAAATAACTTCATTTTCCAATCATTGCAGAAGTCAATCGATAAAACCCCAGTAACGTGCATCAGTTGGGTTCCGGGTTCCCCCAACCAATTCTTGGCGACTCATTCCAGTGGTCATATGTACCTTTATGATGAAAAACTACCACCCAACGCCACACCTCCGACCTATGAGTTATTCAAAGAGGGATCTGGTTTTTCTGTTTACACTTGCAAAGCCAAATCGACCAGGAATCCTCTGTATCGCTGGATCTTTGGAACTCGAAGTGGCGCTGCGAGTAGCAGTAATTCTTTAGTACACCAAAGCGATTCTATTCGGATAAACAAACTCTCGCCACAGCTGGATAACGGCTTCCATCCTAAACTGGCCGTAGCAGAATTAAGGAATGATCTTCTCGGCAGTAACATGTCGCAAACAAATCTTTATTCTGTGAATGATGATACTGCTTCAGTGAATCAGATTGCGTTTTCGCCTTGCGGGAAATATCTAGCTTTAGTGACTGAAGATGGTTATTTGCGGGTGCTTGAATATCACACCATGGAACTGTACGTAAGTTTGCGACCAAATATTTCTTTCACCCAAGTGAAACACTTTTACCGTTTATCATCACTGATTTTTAAGATATCATGAGTTGGTTTTATCGAAAAGAATGACGTAGCAGTTCTCTGTCTTGCATCTGGTTGTAGTACCCAAACGGTGTAAACCGCCAGCATTGACATGTTTTGGACTCTGGTGTCCAAGTATCAAATCAAACCGGCTGGTGGCGCTCACAGTTGCTGCCTGTTAGCTACCCGTTTGAAGGAAGCAGTAGAGGAAAGATTCTAATGCAAAAACAATTGAGATAGAGAAAGCAAATACAAAGTTAATGTTTGTGAACTGTCAAGTTTCAATAAAAAAGGGATCAGTCGGAAACAATTTAAAGTCCATGACACTACATTCGCTGGTTTTATTTTTGTTCTTCGGATCTTGCCTTGACACTTAGATCATTTTACACCTTTTTCACATTTTACGAATAAATATCTCGTTATGGTGTCTGGCAGCTTCGAAGTGCAAGGTGTTGCAAGATTAGTAGGAACCTGTTCCTGCGCTTTCATTGAGTAATCACACTGGAATTAGTCTAAAGCCTTGTCTGCCTGGGAAGTTGCATAACGGCTGGCGG